CTGATCTATGTCAGGGCACGGCTAACTCACAGATAGAACCCTGAAACAATTAACCTCTGGGCTGATCTATGTCAGGGCACGGCTAACTCACAGATTGAACCCTGAAAGAACCTCTGGGCTGATCTATGTCAGGGCATGGCTAACTCACAGATTGAACCCTGAAAGAACCTCTGGACTGATCTAAGTCAGGGCATGGCTAACCCACAGATTGAAGGTCCCTGAAACAACCTCTGGGCTGATCTAAGTCAGGGCATGGCTAACTCACAGATAAAATTTGAATTTAGCATGTTAGGTTTTGCATAGGGTATTGGCATAGGGATGAAAAACAAAAGGGAGGCCTAATAAACCCTACTCACATGTGATGCTGAGTCCAGGAATCAAACCAAAGAACCCAGAGGTTACAGGCAAGTATAATACTGTTACACCACCCTTGGTTCTGTCAGTACCCTGATAAATACTGACAGTGGTAAAGTAAGCACCATTCAGCTTTCATGTCTAATTTTCAGAAACAATTTCATATTTTTCCTTTTTTTTTTGTTGTTTTTTTGTTTTTTGTTTTTGGAAAAACATTCTTGTGGGTCAATAACTTTTCTTTCTTCATTTTGCAGGAGATTGTCAAGAAAATTGTGAAAGACGTTTTTGGTCTGTCAGTCATCTCTTTAGGAAGAAAAGAAGACACAAAACATAGTTCTGTTCTTCCCGATAACGACAGCAACAATGAGCTTAACTCAACTGAAGATTACACATCCAGTATGAATGAGCCAGAGACAGAGCAATCTAATGTCATACCACTAGTGTGTGTACTTGAAAATAATGATGCTTTCTTCTTCGTCGAACCTTTCTTTCAACATGGACTGCAAGATGTTTCAATGTTCAGCCCTGCAGTGGTGTCTCACTCAACCATCCGCCTCATGTACATCATTTATCAAGTACTAAATGCATTGAATTGGTACCACAAGAATAATGTCACTTTTGGGAAACTTAGTCTTGACAGTATCAGGTTGGACAAGGGACTCTTTTTGTATTTGACCACACCTTTGTTCAAAGATATTCTTGTCTTTCAAAACCAAGAACAACTGTCTGGAGATTTCTCCTCTGCATCGTACACAAATATTAACTTTGATGATTCCAAATCTATTAGTTCAACAGCACAAGACAAAAATACAGAGCTTAAAGAATCTGTAAATGAAGAGAGATTGCTTCCTGTCTCTGATTTAAAGAAACCAGAGCATGATTTATTAACACTAGTTGACATGTGGGTGCGAGATGAGATTTCTAATTATGACTATCTAATGGCTCTGAACTACTTTGCAGGTCGTCGTCAAGGCGACCCCAACTACCACCCTTTGTTTCCATGGGTAACAGACTTCACAGATAAGAATGGTGGATTTAGAGATCTGACAAAGACCAAGTTTCGACTCAATAAAGGAGATAACCAGCTTGATATGACTTATAAACAGGCTTTATTTGATACTCATGACACAGGTGTGTCAGCAGTCGCTCATCATGTGTCAGATGTTCTTTCAGATATTACTTATCATGCTTATCTTGCCCGCCGCACGCCTGTGTCAGTTTTATGTGAACATTTGAGGTCTAACTGGGTACCCAATGAATACCCATCATCAATGCAGCGGCTTTATACCTGGACACCTGACGAATGTATCCCTCAGTTCTATTCAGATCCTACCATTTTTAAATCCATACATGATGACTTGCCTGACCTGGCATTACCTTCCTGGACACCTACAGCTGAGGACTTCATCAGGTGGCATCGAAGTGTGCTGGAGAGTGAAGAGGTATCAGGCCATCTGCATCAATGGATTGATCTGACATTTGGCTACAAGTTGAGTGGAAAGGCAGCAGTCAAAGCCAAGAATGTATGCCTTCATTTAGTAAATAAACATCAGATTGTTAATAACTATGGTGTGGTGCAGCTCTTCAGCAAGCCACACCCTTCACAGGCCAAGACATCGGACATTGTTAAACTAGCTACGAGCTGCCACGCCCCTTTAGTTCATATTACCAATGAACAAGGGGAGCCTTCAAGCATTGGACAGATGAATATGACCTCTTACTTAAGATCAAATTTGAACGATTCCCTGATGTCTCTAGATAGCATTGAGGATAGTTCCCATGATGCAGGGTCACATGGTCAGCATGCCGTAGAGCCCATTTCTACTGCTGACCCCCTTCAGAGCAGCTCATCGTCCATGAACTTCAGCTTACTGATCGGAGGAAAAGAAGTAGTCGATGAGAATTTTAAGCTGCTTGAGACAGAAAAAATCTACCTTCCAGAAGATTGTACTCCTTTACAGCTGCTAGACACTTATGAGTCCATCCATAAGTTTAAGCGGCAATTCCCTGTTGCTAAGGAGCGACAACAAAGTATCGAAAGGCCAGAGGTAAGGGAACAAATTAATGACTTCAATTAGTTTCAGTTTCAGTTTTAGTCAAGTGTTTCCATGACATCAGACAACACAACGTTTAATGGTCCTATAGAATGTCAAGGAAACCCCTTTGATTGAAGCCCACCAAAACAACTTTGTCACTACGGCAAATGGTACTATTCCGCCCGTCATAAACCTCTTTAGCTTTGGCGTAATGTTTCAGACCTCCTGTCATTTATGATTGTCACACATGAGACTACACATGAATACACACAGTCAGATGTATTACACAGCTCAAACAAATAATCTTAAGGTATGCTCGACAATAACATATGGTCTGATTGAAATGAGCAAACAGAGGTCTTTTGTGAATGATACTACTCTTCCCAGTAGACCAAGGTAGTTGTGATTTTTTAATGGCCTTCGTAGCGTCTGTTATGTTATCCGTAAGTACATTTCAAATCGACCACGTGATGCTAATGTTGTACCACGAGGACAAGTTTTTTACACCACGTGATTAAAACTTGACTGGATTTTGACCTCGGTCTACTGGGAAGAGTAGTAACTGTTATAATATTATTGTGTTTGACACAGGTTGTAATAGATGACTCTGTGTTTGACAAGCTGATTCAGACTGATATTGAATGGCTCGGATGTCTGATAGTAGAGATGGTTCTACCCGAGAAGGTGCGACTGGTCTCGGCTGGGTTAACACGAGAGCAAAGGGCTGAGGCAATAAAGCATTTGTGTTCTTCGAATCCAAAGATCTTACCAAGGTTTGTGCATATGGTCTTGCTGTTGTCATGAGAAACGTCGGGTTTCAATCCATCCATCTTCAACCCATGCTTCAATCCATCCATCCCATCCATCCATCCATCCATCCATCCATCCATCCATCCATCCATCCATCCATCCATCCATCCATCCACCCATCCACCCACCCAC